ACTAGCAGGAGGCTGGATTAGATCGCCAGAAGGCCCTCCTGAATCTGGTTGTGGTGGGAAGTGCCGTCAAGTTGCAGCCAACTGATGGTGGCCCGGTAGGGTTTCCGAGGCAAGAGACGTTCAGAGCTGGTTTTCCACTGCTGTCCTCTGCGTAGCAACCCTGGACCTCCTTGGTGGTCTCCCCTCCGAGGGCCAACCAGGGCTGACCCTGCTTAGCTTCTGAGATCTGATGAGACCAGGCGAGACCGGGCCACCCATCCCTTTGAACTGGAGGGCTGCCCGAACAGGAGCTTTGCCTCCCGCAACTAGTCTTCTCGTACATTGAGTAACTGCACCAGAGTCTTGGAGAACTCAGATGGTGCAAAGCAATGGATGTGCACTGAGAACAGGTTTCCTCTGCATCAGGTAGAGTTCTACCGCAAGAGAGATCAGGAAGCTATGAAATTTGCAAACGGCTGCGCCAAAACAATTTTACCTCTCCCTTGTGTCAGATGCAGACCGGCAGCTTTGGGGGCTGTGCGCACCTCTCTTCATCCCTGAGCCAGCCGCGGACTGCTCAGGTGCAGCAAGTTGTGTTTGGGGACCAGGACTTCCCGCGGGGCTTGGGCCCCTGCACCCATCTCTTATACATCTTGTTGCCTTATTTTTAGCAGCAAACCCTGGATTCCATTGTCCAGTCTGGCACATGGACGCTCCTGGCTTCTCTTTCAGTTGGGAGGGTAACATGCGGAACCTTTCAGATCGGTGCATTGGAGCACAAAAGGCCAACTGTATCTTGCATGAGGCACAGTTCGTTGTTTTTGTCCCACCTTCATCACGGTTGATATCAGTGCCTCGGCCATGACAGAAGAGACAACATGATGTTCAGTTTCTCACTTTGATAAGGCAACTTGAAAGGGCCTGATTAGGAAACTTTGCAGGTGCAAAACCATATACCTGTTCATTTTTAATGGAGAAAGTTTGCATGTTAATGACCTTCCATCTGGAGACGGAACATGGGTGCCAGGATTGGGAAACTTGTGTGTAGTTGCCCATCAGCTGAGATCTTTTGTGGAGGAGGCCCTGCTCTGCAGAACTAAAGTGTGTGGTGCTCGGGCCCTTCTCTGTTGTGGCCCCTCACCCATGGAGCTGTCTCCACCCTGGCGACTTACCTGGCTTGGCCAATCATAGAGACTAAGTTTGGTGTAGAGCCAATCATAGAGCCAGTCTGGTGTCGTGGTTAAGGGCGCGGACTCTAATCTGGGAGAACCGGGTTTGATTCCTCACTCCTCCTCCACTTGCACCTGCTGATGTGACCTTGGGTCAGTCACAAGCTCTGGCACAGCTGTCCTTGAAAAAGAGCAGTTTCTGTCAAGAGCTCTCTCAGCCCCACCCACCTCACAGGGTGTCTGTTGTGGGGAGGGGAAGGGAAAGGAGTTTGTAAACCGCTCTGAGACTCCGAGTGAAGGGCGGGGTATAAATCCAATCTCTTCTTCTTCTTCTCTAATCTGGGAGAACCGGGTTTGATTCCCCACTCCTCCACTCGCAGCTGCTGGATGACCTTGGGCAAGCCATAGTTCTGGCACAGCTGTCCTTGAAAAAGAGCCGTTTCTGTCAGAGCTCTCTCGGCCCCACCTACCCCACAGGGTGTCTGTTGTGGGGCAGGGAAGGGAAAGGAGTTTGTAAGCCACTCTGAGACTCCTTTGGGGAGTGAAGGGCGGGGTATAAATCCAATCTCTTCTCTTCTTCTAAGTGAAAGCCTTTAAAAATCTTACGTTTGGTGCTTGACGTTTCTTCTTGGGCGTTTGGCTGCTTCTTATCCTTTCAATCATTTTAACTGCCAGTTAGAATGTTGGTCTTTCCCCTGGTTGCACTGTGGTTTCGTTATTGATTCTTGTAACCTTTTGTTAAATTGCCTTGGAAGCTTTGAGCTGAGCATATCCAGGGTGTACTAATTTTACAGTAACAGCCGATGAACACTTCGTGCCTGACCCTTGGCCTACCAAGGCCAGTCTGGTCTACTCTGACTGCCAGGGTCTATTGACTTTCACTTCACCCTCCTACCTGAGCGTTTGAAAAACTGGAGATGCCGGGGGTTTGAACCTGGGATCCGTTGCATGCAAAGCAGAGGCTCTGCCATAGAGCCGCAGACTGCCTCTAGGTACAAATGTGCTCCTTTGCGATTGCCACAGTTTGCTTTTAATGCCGTACTTGCATTCCCCTCCTACCCTGAGCAAGTCACAACAAAATCAGGACCTGTTTTCTTAGATGTCTGGGTATAGCTGAAGCAAACTTCCAATTGCAACTGCAAACAACCGTGTGACTTCTTCAGGATCAGAGTGTCAATCGAGTAAGAGGCTGTAGGTAGCTGCAATGGTCCACAGCAAAATCCAACCTCAGAAACCATGTAAAAACAAACCGACCTCTCCCTGTTACTTCCCACCCAGAAAGCGGCATTGAGACACCCCACTGCCTTTGAACGTGGCAGTGTGTTGGAACTGGAAAACTTAGAACTTTGGGATGTGTGGCCGTGGTCTTGGCACGGGGAACTTGGCCTGGCGAACTCCTACAAGACAATGACAGCCCTACCCACCTTCCGGAGTAGATATAAATTTACTGCCTACCATTTTCTCACCTTGACACAGAGAGTATTCCATCTTTCTGTGTTTATGCCAGTCACAGTCACTGGCGAAACGTCAGGTCCTACAATGCCAAGACCACGGCCACACATCCCGGAAAATCTACAACAGCTAATGAACTCCGGCCGTGAAAGCCTTCGGCAACATATTAGAACTTTGGACTTCGATCTGGGAAGCCTGGGCCCCTCCTACCTCCCACCGATGCTCCCTCTAAGCTGTGGAGTCTTGTGAGCAAAAATTCTACTTTGGGAGCGACTGGCATCAACGTTGTGAGCGAGCGATTGGGCGGCTGCATAAATTAGTTTGCTCTGGAGCCCCGTCCTTCCTGAGCCAAAAATGGGTGAGCCAGAGGCTAAAAAAACTGTGAGCTGCCGCACACTAACTCAGCTTAGAGGGAACACTGCCTCCCACTGTGAAGCTTGCTAGGTGACCTGGGTCTAATCACATGCCCTTGCCTACTTCACAGGATGGTTGTGAGTTTAAAACTTGGAAGGGAGATCCATGTAGGCACCTTCCAGGAAGGGTGGGACAAAAGTTATTTTATTCCTTCATTTATAACTCTACCTTCCTCCACCGTGGGGACACCAAGTGACTTACATTATTCTCCTCTGCTCCGTGTTATCCTCACAACAACCCTGTTAGGCTGAGAGGATGTGACCCGCCCAAGATCACCCAGCAAGATGGCACGGCAGGGTGGGGATTCGAAGCTGGGTCTCCCAGCCCCCAGCCCAGCACTATACCCACAACACCACACTGCCTGTCGGTATGAAGATGGACCTTTTGTCTGAATTCCCTCCTCCCCCTATGCTCTTCAAAGGCCACCAGGCCAGCTTCGTGGTTAGAGTTAGGTCTCCACAAAGATCCCTTCCTCTGGAGAAAATGGCTGCTTTGGAGGATGGATTCTATGGCACTGCACTCCACAGAGGTCCCTCTCTCTCCCAAGTCCCACCCTCCACCCCACCCCCAAATCTCCAGGAATTTCCCAGTGTGGAGTTGGCAACCGTATTCATGGCTGAAAAGAGACCGGAAACTTTTTAGGTATCTCGGATCCAAACAGCTTTCCCGTAGCATCTTTCTGATCATTGGTGCAATATATTTGGCTCATATAGTAGAGTATAGTATGGAGTGCAGAAAACAGACCTCCCAAGAAGTACATTGCGAAAAAGGTAAACGTACATTTATTCAAGTAGATCCAGAATAAAGTCTGCGTCCAGTGGCGCTTTTAAGACCGACAAAGTTTAATTCTGGGTATAAGCTTTCGTGCGCATGCATACAAAAACTTCTACCCAGAATTAAACTTTGTTGATCTTAAAGGTGCCACTGGACTCAAACTTTGTTCTGTTGCTTCAGACCAATGTGGCTACCCCCCTGAATCTATTTTCAAGTAGATCCAGTTCACATTCAGGTTGCAGTCAAAAGAAGAGAAAGAAGCCTTTCTAAAGAGGACTTTCCCTCCCTCAAATGGCCAGCTTGTCTGGTGTAATATACCCAGTTCAGACCGCGTGGCCAGCTTGGGCTCCACACGGTCAAGCGCAAACGTCGAGCTTCGCTCAACAAGACAATGGACTATGCGGATCCTAGCTTGCGCCAATCAGTGGGCTAGGTTCGCAGCCAAGAGCCTATGGAACTCTCGGTCACTGTAAATAACCTATGTGGAAGTCAATGTTCTCTCTAAGCTGTGGAGTCTTGTGAGCAAAAATTCTCCTTTGTGAGCTACTGGCATTAAAATTGTGAGCAAGGGATTCGGCTGCTGCACAAATTAGCCTGCTCTGGAGCCATTCTTCCTGAGCTAAGACAAAAATGTGTGAGCCAGAGGCTAAAAACCTGTGAGCTAGCTCACACTAACTCAGCTTAGAGGGAACACTGGTGGAAGTGGGTGTGTGTTATGGGTGGCGGTTTCACAGAGAATATAAGCCGGCCTGCGAGCCGGCTAAAGTTGTCTTGTTCCTGATCTAATAAAGTACGCTAAGCTGAAATCACTCTCCGTCAGCGTACTTTTCATCTGGCATCATGTGTGTGGGAGTAAGAGAGCACTGTATCTACAGGAGAAACCTGCAGAGACCTGCTTCTCCATGGAAGGCCATGTAGAGGGTGTGAGAGGACAAAGCGAGATAGAGAGAGGAGGGGAGGGGTCAAAGGGCAGCTCCCAGGTTAAGACAAAGAGAGGCATCCCACTCAAGGAGATAAAACTTATGTACACTTAGAGTGATGTAGCGCCCTCCCAATGTCCAGGCATGCCGAGACGCTCACGCCAACAAAATAATCCCACGCTCTCTTGTTGTCTCCTGCGGAAGGTCCCCCCACCGAAGACAGTGTAAAGCCTGGAGCTAGGCCTCGCTTTGGCCTGCTGCAGCCACGGCACTGCCCGCCTCCAGCGGCGACATGGAGGACTCACCGCCGGATGACGGGAACTGCGCCCACAACAACGCTGGCGACTGGTGGCTGACGTGTGAAGACTCGCGGAGCCGCAGAAACTCCATCCCCCCGGCAAAGACTCCCACGGCCAAGCACATGTTGGCTTATCTCCCTCGTCCCCCCACAGACACCAGCAGATATGGGACCTTTCCCCAGAAGGTGGGTGCATTGGGCCACTGGGCCTATTTGCCTCCTGGCGGGGCCCCCCCAAACGTTTGGGGGTGGGGGATGGGAGAACAGCGGTCTCACCTGTTTGCTGTAGTGGAGAAAAACCAAGGTTTTTGTAGAAAAAGCCCAGCAGGAACTCATTAGCATAATAGGCCACACACAACAGCAGAAACGCATTAGCCTATTAAGCCACACCCCAGACACCACAGCCCATTAGCATATTAGACCACACCCCCATGTTACCACACTCACCTTTTGCTTCTTATTCTGTTTACTCTGTTTGTTGTCAAAACCCAGGGCTTTTTTTGTAGCAGGAACTTCTTTGCATGTTAGGCCACACACCCCTAATGTAGCCAATCCTAATGAGTTTCTGTTGTTGGGTGTGGCCTATTATGCTAATGAGTTCCTGCTGGGCGTGGCCAACTCAGGAGGCAGCCGGAACTCCGTTCCTGTGCGTTCCTGCCCAAAAATAGCCCTGAGCAAAACTGTCCCCGTCTGCAAGAGAAACCACGGCACTTATGCTATGGGCAGGTTGCCTTGACTTCCACGATCACCAAGAACGTACAGGGTTGCCACACAGAGCAGGGTTGCCAACCTCCAGGTCGTGGCTGGAGATCTCCTGGGACTACAACTGGTTTTTCGTTCACCTGGAGAAAATGGCCGCTTTGGAAGGTGGACTTCAATGGGGCATCATGCCATACCCTCCCCTCCTCAAACCCTGCCCTCCTGTGGCTCCGCCTCCCCCAAACTCCCGGCATTTCCCAGCTCGGAGCTGGCAACGCTAATGCAGAGGAAGGCCATGGCGGACCACCTCTGTTCATCTCTTGCCTTGAAAACCCTGTCGAGTTGCCATAGCTTGGCTGCGACTTGATGCCGGATTTCAACAAGAGACGTTCTAACGGGCCAACTTTCTGCCCCAGACAGCAGATAAGCTTATATGTCAAGTCCACACCTTTATCATAAGAACATAAGAGACGCCAATGTTGGATCAGGCCAAAGGCCCATCCTGTCCAACACTCTGTGTCACACAGTGGCCAGAAATACCAGGTGCCATCAGAAGGTCCACCCAGTGGGGCCAGGACATTAGAAGCCCTCCCACTGTTGACCCCCCCCAGCACCAAGAAACAGAGCATCACTTGAACAGAGTCCCTATCTATACCTTGTGGCTAATAGCCACTGATGGACCTCTGCTCCATATGCTTATCTAATTCCCTTTTGAAGCTGTCCATGCTTGTAGCCGCCACCACTTCCTGTGGCAGTGAATTCCATGTGTTAATCACTCTTTGATTAACTTCTTCCTTATGTTGATGTTCCTTAAATGCAATGGCACTATGCATCAAATAAATGCACTGGATTAAACACTCCTCTGAGGTACAGATGGTGGAAGCCTGCGTTCCAACCGTGCCTCCTTTCTGCCTCTGAAACCCCAATTATGCTGCCAAATGCTCTGGCTTCATTCTGGCTAAGACGAGGTCCTGGTAATTGTTTGATCCTGCCTCCCCTCTCCCACCTGAATGGTATTTACCTCACAGGTAGTCCTCCTGACCAATGCTCCCTCGAAGCTGTGCAGTCTTCTGAGCAAAAATTCCACTTTGTGAGCTCCTGGCATGAAAGTTGTGAGTGAACGATTTGGCTGCTGCATAAATTAGTCTGCCTTAGGGCCATCCTTCCTGAGCGAAGGCACAAATGTGCGAGCCGGAGACTAAAAGAACTGTGAGCAAGCTCACACTAACTCAGCTTAGAGGGAACACTGCTCCTGACCATGGAAAAATGTTTTCCTCAGAACAACCCTGGGGGTTGGACTAGATGACCCTGGAGGTCCCGTCCAACTCTATGATTCTATTGCATTGCATACATGTCATGCCAATTCAAGAAGCTAATTCGACACTCCCCATACCCGCCGGCCCACCAGACTGCAAAATCCCTGGAGCCCTGGCCTTGACCAGGTACAGATGGTGGAAGCCTGCGTTCCAACCGTGCCTCCTTTCTGCCTCTGAAACCCCAATTATGCTGCCAAATGCTCTGGCTTCATTCTGGCTAAGACGAGGTCCTGGTAATTGTCTGATCCTGCCTCCCCTCTCCCACCTGAATGGTATTTACCTCACAGGTAGTCCTCCTGACCAATGCTCCCTCTAAGCTGTGAAGTCTTGTGAGCAAAAATTCCACTTTGTGAGCTCCTGGCATGAGAGTTGTGAGTGAGCAATTTGACTGCTGCATAAATTAGTCTGCTCCGGAGCCATCCTTCCTGAGCTAAGACAAAAATGTGTGAGCCGGAGGCTAAAAAAACTGTGAGCTAGCTCACACTAACTCAGCTTAGAGCGAGTTACCATGGAAAAATGTTTTCCTCAGAACAACCCTGGGGGTTGGACTAGATGACCCTGGAGATCCCGTCCAACTCTATGATTCTATTGCATTGCATACATGTCATGCCAATTCAAGAAGCTAATTCGACACTCCCCATACCCGCCGGCCCACCAGACTGCAAAATCCCTGGAGCCCTGGCCTTGACAACAGATAGTATGCCTACAGAAATCTTTCTGCTTTCTTGAAAAAGGAGAGAGAATTATTCTTTACATGGCTTTTCAGGATTACAGCTGGGGTGATTTTCAAAAGTACAGACCAGAGAGTTCTAAACGTTGGTCTTGTATCTAACTGGCCTGTTTCGGAGCATACCTGGATCGATAACCTGCTTAACTGGAAGCCTTCCTCTTGACTGATAAATCAGTATTCCAGAGACCCTCTCCCCCACCTCTCTAGCTGCTTATCTCGGCTACCTGCTGTCAGCATGGGGTGAAAAGAACAGGCTCATTCAGCCAGAGCGTGTTATGTTTTCCTCTGAAAATAATCACCCTCCCCCTGAAAGCATTCCTCCAGGAAAGAGTCTGGGGGCAAGGTGAGCCCTTCCATTCCCCCAACCCTATAAACCATTTCTCCAAGGGATCAAACAGATGCTTAGGATCCTACAAATGGCACACCCAGAGGCTCCCCGATCGAAGACCCAATTTAGGGGACCCAATTTAGAGTGAGACCGTCACACAAAGAGAAGGAAAGTCAAGCCCACCCATCCAAAAGTGGTCCGTGAAGCCACTATTTGCCCCTAATTGGTACCTGTATTAGATCAGCACCTTCCAAGTAATACGAAGAGCACCCCAAGGGAGAACTGGCCTCCTCTCCCATTCAACCTGCTAATTTATGGATCATGACAACCCCAGATTGGAGGCTGTCATCTCCACTTACTTGGATGAAGGAACTGGGGAGATGCTCCTTAAATTTGCAGAAGACACTAAGTTGGGAGGGGTAGCAAATACAGTGGAAGGCAGAATCAGGATACAGGATGATCTTGACAGACTGGGAAACCGGGCTAAAAGTAACAAAATGAATTTTAACAGGGATAAAATGTAAACTCTGGCATTTAGGTGGGGAAAATCAAATGCATAATTATAGGACGGGGGAGATTTGTCTTGGCCGTAGTGCGTGCAAAAAGGATCTAGGGGTCTTAGTAGACCATACACTGAACATGAGTCAGCAGTGTGATGCGATAGATTTACCAGAAATACAGTGTCAAGATGGTATCAATTTACTCTGCTCTGGTTAGACCTCACCTGGCACAGTGTTTTTGAGCACCACAATTTAGGAGGGATGTTGACAAGCTGGAATGTGTCCAAAGGAAGGCAACAAACATGGTGAGAGGTCTGGAGACCAAGTCCTATGAGGAAAGGTTGAAGGAGCTGGGTCTGTTTAGCCTGGAGAGGAAACAACTGAGAGGTGATAAGATAGCCATCTTCAGGTATTTCAAGGGGTTCCAAACAGAGGATGGATAAGAGTTGTTTTCCGTTGCCCCAGAAGGTGGGACCAGAACCAACAGATTGAAATTAAATCAGAAGAGTTTTCAGCTAAACATGAGGAAGTACTTCCTGACAGAGTGGTTGCACAGTGGAACAGGCTTCCTTGGGAGGTGGTGGGCTCTCCTTCTTTGGAGGTTTTCAAACAGAAGCTAGATGGCCATCTGACAGCCATGATGAGAGGGAGGGCAGGACGGGTTGCCTCTGTGCCTAGTACTTGTAGCCCTTTCTTACACGCCCAGGGAAAGGCTGATTGTCACGTTGGGGTCTGGAAGCAATTTTCCTCAGGCCAGATTGGCCAGAGATCCTGGAGGTCTTTTGTCATCTTCTGGGCAAAGAGAAGGGATCACTGAGGGAGTGGGGGGGTATTTATGAATTTCCTGCATTGTGCAGGAGGTGGGACTAGATGACCCTTGAGGTTCCTTCCAGCATTGTTTCTTTGTTTCTGTCTCAAGACCAGTGTCCCATCTAAGCTGAGTTAGTGTGAGCTAGCTCACAGTTTTTTAGTCCCTGGCTCAGACATTTTTGTCTTCGCTCAGGAAGGATGGCTCCAGAGCAAACTAATCTATGCAGGAGCCAAATCGTTCGCTCGCAACTTAATGCCAGTAGCTCACAAAGTAGAATCTTTGCTCACAAGACTCCATAGCTTAGAGGGAGCATTGCTCAAGACTAAGGTGCTACTGGATTCGAATCTAGCATCTCAAGACTGTATCCTCCTAAAATGAGAACTGCTGTGTACATCTGAGATGGCGAGATTCAGTATTCTTGAGCGGCCCTCTTGATTGTAGCCTGAGGCCAGGCTCAGCCAGTCGCCTTGCAGATGGTCAGGATCTTCAACAGAGCTGGCACTGCCTGCCTGGGAGGGGCTTGCGGGCACGAGACCCAAGCACTTAAGTTACATGAGGTCACCGACCGACTGCCATGTTTGGTGGTGAAGCACCGAAGTAGTTCCTTGAAAGATCCTCTCAGGGGACAGACTGGCAGTGAGACAAAGAGCCAAGACCACTCCTTCTTCATTTACCCTGATTAAAATTTGGTGGGGCCACCATGGTCTGGATAAAGCTTCTTCAGCAGCAAGATCCAGGCCAAGGGCAACCAATTGGCCAGGTGTGTCAAACATAAGGCCCGTGGGCCAGAACCGGCCCGTCCTGGGCTCTTATGTGGCCTGCAAGCAACTGGTGCAAGGGAGGGAGTGGAAGACTGCTTGAGGAGGGGAGTGGTGGCTCCAATTGCAGCTTCAGCGGGGCAGAACAGCCTCCTCTGCAGCAGTCAAGCAGTGTGGGAGCGTCTGCCCAGCGCTGCACCACTGGCTCTCCAGTCTGCCCATGTGGGTTTTCCTTTGCACCCCCCCCCCAGCCCATGGAGTCTTGCAGTGAGAATACACCAACTTGGAGAGCCAGTTTGATGTAGTGGTTAAGTGCATGGACTCTAATCTGGGAGAACCGGGTTTGATTCCCCACTCCTCCACTTGCACCTGGCTGGATGACCTTGGGCAAGCCGTAGTTCTGACAAGAGTTGTCCTTGAAAAAGAGCAGTTTCTGTCAAGAGCTCTCTCAGCCCCACATACCTCACAGGGTGTCTGTTGTGGGGAGGGGAAGGGAAGGAGTTTGCAAGCTGCTCTGAGACTCCTTTGGGGAGTGAAGGGCGGGGTATAAATCCAATCTCTTCTTCAGTCACAAGTTCTCTCACAGCTGTTCTCTTAAGAGCAGTTTCTGTCAGAGCTCTCTCAGCCCCACCTACCTCACGGGGTGTCCGTTGTGGGGAGGGGAAGGGAAAGGAGTTTGTAAGCCGCTCTGAGACACCTTTGGGTAGTGAAGGGCGGGGTATAAATCCAATCTCCTCCTCCTCCACCACCATCTACAGTCCTTTACATAAGAACATAAGAGACGTCAATGTTGGATCAGGCCAAAGGCCCATCCAGTCCAACACTCTGTGTCACACAGTGGCCAAAAATACCAGGGGCCATCAGGAGGTCCAGCAGTGGGGCCGGGACACTAGAAGCCCTCCCACTGCTGCCCACCCCCCCAAGCACCAAGCTTATATCTCCCATACCTAGCATTACATTTTATGGCAAACATGGCCTGCCCTGACAAAGTGACATTTTTGTCAGATATGGCCCTTGTAACAAATGAGTTTGGTAAAGGGTAAAGGTTTCTCTTGCTCGAAAGTCAGTCAAATATGGCTCTAAGGGGTGGTGCTCATCTCTGTTTCCAAGCTGAAGAGCCAGCGCAGTCTGAAGACTTCTCCATGGTCATGTGGCCGGCATGACTAAACGCCGAGGCGCACGGAATGCTGTTACCTTTCCACCGAAGCGGTACCCATTTATCTACTTGCAATTTCTTGCTTTCGAACTGCTAGGTTGGCAGGAGCTGGGTCCAGAGATGGGAGCTCACTCCGTCATGCGGCACTCGGGTCTCAAACTGCCGACCTACAGACCTTCTGGTCTGCAGCTCAGCGTCTTAACCTCTGAGCCACTGCGCCCCCAAAATGAGTTTGGCACTTCTGCAATTGGCAGTCCCTGCTCATCACACTCACAAGGAATTTCAGTCTGCTTGGACGACACGGGCTTGTCGACAGTTCTGGGATTCTGACCTTGAGCTAGAGAGACTGGAACCTCTAACAGAAATGACCATGATTTTCCACGGACGACACGGGCTTGTCGACAGTTCTGGAAGTCTGACCTTGAGCTAGAAAGACTGGAACCTCTAACAACAGAAATGACCATGATTTTCCCCAGGCAGGTGACTCAGCCGTTTAATGGGGAACAAGGGGCAGGGGTGTTGCAAGCATGCTGACATGTTCGTTTTCTCTTGCAGCCTGAAATGGTGGCCATTCCTATGGGCCTCCTAGAGGACAGCCACCCGCAAATGGAAGCCACGACCACAAAGAAAAGTGCCCTGACCTGCAACTACGTTTCCGTGTCCTGCAGCTCACACATACCCAACAACCGGTCAGTCCTTCTCCAGAGGGCACAAAGCACAGTGGAGCCAACCACTTACGGGACAGTCGTGCCAACCAAACACCGCCCCAGCGTCTCCATCAATACGGACGAGTTGCCTAAATACCACCGGACCTCCAAAACTGAGCCATCGCCATCTACGCTCTGGCGGGACTTCAACACCCAGTTTTATCCACAGCACGCTCTCAGCGCACCGAACATCATCAGCTCTTCGCGGAGCAAAACCCCGACCCGCAGTGTCGTCTCTGTACCCAACTCGGACAAAGGGCAGAGTCGGCGCTGCAAACTCATGGATGATGACCGGCAATTTAGTTTGGGCAACAAGCAGCAGCGGCAGCGCTACGTCACCAAAGTGGGCAAGTGCCAGGTGAACTTGGGCAACATTCAGGAAAAGAAGAGGTTCCTGTCGGACATCTTCACCACCATTGTGGATCTCAAGTATCGCTGGTTCCTCTTTGTCTTCAGCATGTGCTACATCACCACCTGGGTGCTCTTTGGCATTATCTATTTCGTGGACGCCTGGATAAGGGACGACGTCAACCACATAGGGGACACCGAGTGGAAGGCTTGCATCGAGAACATCGATAGCTTCATCTCTGCCTTACTGTTCTCCGTGGAGAGTCAACGGACTATTGGCTACGGCTCTCGGATCGTGACGGCCAACTGCACGGAGGGGGTCATCTTGCTCATGGCCCAGTCCATCATCGGCTCCATGATCGACGCCCTCATGGTGGGGTGCATGTTTGTGAAGATCTCCAGACCCAAGAAGCGTGCCCAGACCTTGATATTCAGCAAGAAATGCGTCATCTCCCACCGGGACGAGAAGCTCTGCCTGATGTTCCGCATTGGTGACCTGCGGGACAGTCACATGGTGGACGCCAAAATCAGAGCCAAGCTGATTAAGTCCAGGCAGACGAAGGAAGGGGAATTCATCCCGCTGGAGCAGTCGGAGCTGAACCTGGGCTACGACACGGGAGAGGACCGCCTCTTCCTCGTGGAGCCACAGATCATTTGCCACATCATCAATGACCTCAGCCCCTTCTGGGAGATGTCCGCGGAAGCACTGAAGAGGGAGCAGTTCGAAATCATCGTCATTCTGGAAGGCATCGTGGAAGCTACAGGTGAGCGCCCTGTCCGTCGCCGGGGGAGGGCTGGAGCAACCCTTTGTCAGGGTTCAAAGACCAGTCTGGGTAGCATTTTCCTGTTATTGTATAACCTCTTTATTTCATGCTAATCAATACATGGGACTACATAATACATAACTTATCATACAGTATCTGAGTGATAAGATTTTACAATCTAAACAAGGTTCAGTATCTCTTTTTCACACTTGATCTTAGCCAAAAAGCCAAGAAGTGATAAGTTCAATATCTCTTTTTTGACTTATCTTTTAGTCCATTTCTATTCCAAAAATGAATGGAGACCAGACTTGCACAAACCTATCTTTTGTGTATCTGTCTCTATCCCACAACCTTCTACACGTGGATATTTACCCTCTTAACATAGTGTACCATACTTTCCCTGGCCATTTCTCAATATCTGGTGCTTTTTCCTCTCTCCATGCCGCAGCTACTAGCATTCTGGATCTGGTGAATAAATTTGCTATCAACCACATCTTGTTAACTGAGATCCCTCTGGGCATAAGGTTCAGAAGATCTACTTATTTATTCAGTATGATTTTATCCTGCCCTTCTTCAAGGGAGAAGAAGAAGAGATTCCATTTATACCCCACCCTTCACTACCTGAAGGAGTCTCAGACTGGCTTACAAACTCCTTTCCCTTCCCCTCCCACAACAGACACCCTGTGAGGTAGGTGGGGCTGAGAGAGCTCTTGACAGAAACGGCTCTTTTTCAAGGACAGCTGTGCCAGACGTACGGGTTGCCCAAGGTCATTCAGCAGCTGGAGGAGTGGGGAATCAAACCCGGTTCTCCCAGACAATGTTCCCTCTAAGCTGTGGAGTCTTGTGCGCAAGAATTCTTCTTTGTGAGCTACTGGCATTAAAGTTGTGAGCGAGCCATTTCGCTGCTGCATCAATTACTTTGCTTTGGAGCCCTCCTTCCTGAGCCAAGATGAAAATGTGTGAGCCGGAGGCTAAGAAACTGTGAGCTAGCTCACACTAACTCAGCTTAGAGGGAACACTGCAGTCCCAGATTAGAGTCCGCGCACTTAACCACTACACCAACCTGGCTCCAAACTTTCTACACATGGATATTTCCCCCATTAACATACTGTACCGTACTTTCCCTAGCCATTTCTCAATATCAGGAGGGCCCACAAGATTCTTCTCTCTTCCATTTTATCCTCATAAGAACCCTGTGAGGAAGGCTAGGCTGAAGGAGTGATGATCAGCCCAAGGTTAGCCAGTGAGTTTCCATGGAACACTGCGGATTCAAACCTGGATGTCCCAGATCTTAGTCAGAAACTTTAACAGCTACAGCACGTGGGTTTTCCTCCGCACTGCCACCCTCTCCCCATCACACTCAGAAGTGACTTTTTCGCATGAATGGTCTTAGAGAAACTAGATTTTAACTCTGGGGCCCAAATCCAGTTGCTGCCACCATATATTCGGGGGGTTGTGGGTCTTGGTGATTTGGGTACAGCCAACAGGTCTGTGCAGACTTTTATTTATTTATTTATTTATTTATTTGATTTATATCCCGCCCTCCCAAAGGCTCAGGGCAGCTCACATGCGGCGAAGCCGAGTGCAAAATACAATACAGTATATAATAAATAAAACATTTAAAATCACAATAAAACCTTCCAATAATACGGTGCTATACCTATATATGGAGCTGCGGTGGCTCAAGTGGTTAAGACGCTGAACTGCAGGCTGTGGAAGGTCAGTAGTTCAGCAGTTTGAGACCCGAGTGTGCCACGTGACAGAGTGAGCTCCCATCTCTAGTTCCAGCTCCTGCCAACCTAGCAGTTCGAAAGCAAGAAATTGCAAGTAGATAAATAGGTACCACTTCGGTGGGAAGGTAACAGCGTTCCGTGCGCCTTGGTGTTTAGTCATGCCGGCCACATGACCACGGAAACGTCTTCGGACAGCACTGGCTCTTTGGCTGGGAAACGGAGATGAGCACCGCAACCCTAGAGTCGGATTCGACTGGCTTTCGAGCAAGGGGACCTTTACCTTTATACCTATATTAGTCATCCAAGATGGGGACAACCCCCTCCCCCCCAGGTTTGGTGGCCAGCTGTCTCAGTAGCATGGTCTCCCACTACACTGTCTCAAACGTCTGCCAGGGTCCGCTTGCCCCCGTTCTTATAGGGCAGCCGATGACTTGCCACCTTTTCCTCCTGATCAGGCTCCTGTGGATGTCGTGCATTTCAAGTGCTACCAGAAGGCTTTTATTCTTTTTACCAGATTAAAGAGGACTTGTGTAAGAGAAAGATAATATATTTGCTATGGGAGAACATAATACAAAGTCCTTCCCTGGCAAAATCTAGCCGACAGCCAGGTACTCTGTGTCTGTGTGTGTGTTCACATGGGAAAAAATGACCCACAACCCCAAGAGGAAGATGGGAATATTTATTGCAAATGCTCCGGGACCAGACCAAATCCTAAAGAGCTGGAATTCCAGGAGGTTTGGTGCCATCTGGTGGTCCTTGATCAAGACCTTCTTTCAGTCTGAAATTGTTGGAAGAGGGGAAAGTTAATCCGGTTGGAGAGCAGCTTGAATAACTTGATTAATTCACTGCAAGTGGTATGGGCAACTTAAGAGACGCTAAACATTTTTTTTTTTGAAGTCCAGAGCCTACACCACAGATACAGTTTCCAGGGTGGTCCACAATATTCCACAGACAAGCAGCTTCCATATCCTTAGAATGCAGGTTCCACGTGCCAGGTCTTTGCCGGTTCCCCGGCTGAAGATGGGGCTGGGCTCTGCTGGGCCTCTGTGGTTGGGATGAGGGGGGGTAGGGGGTGGAGCGCCACAACAAACGAGTAGGGCATCATGAAATCTTCCACCTCTAAAGGCCCTTGCTGATTTATCCAGTCACGGAGAATGCTGTGCCACTCAGAGTTAACTGGGCATAGTACTGTGAGTTCTTTTATTTAAAAGCTGGTCTCAGCTGGGAGGGTGGGGTATAAATTCAATATATAAATAAATAAATGATTTTCACCCTGCTCTTCCAAAGAGCTGCCACTGGTTTCGGAGCACAAGTTACGAGGACAGCCAGTTGCCGTTTTACTAGAACAAGTGCCACATCAGGCGTATTCCCAAGTAGTAGCAGACAAGAGGTTGAAAGAAAGACACATACAAATCCAAACGGCTCTGGATAGGTCTCTTCCTGGTTCTGCAAGGAGCTCTTGCATTGGACAGAACTTCCTTGAAGGACATTAGACACATTCAGTCAATCCAATTTTAGAGTACCTCTTGTTTATAATCCCAAACTGGCTTATTTTACAAGGATCCCAAGGGAGGAGAACATAAGAACATGAGAGAAGCCGATGCTGGATCAGTCCAATGGCCCCTCCAGTCCAACACTCTGTCACACAGTGACCAAAAAGAACAGGTGCCATCAGGAGGTCCAGCAGTGGGGCCAGGACACTAGCTGGTTTTCACCACCCTGAACTCTGGGACCTGCAGTTCTACAAGAAGGCAAGAGAATCTTGAAGCAGAGAGTTCTCAATCTCAAGAGGGGGCTTAACACCATTGAGAAGCAGTCTGTAATGATTTCTTGTTTTGGTGTGTGTGTTTCTTTAAATGTTTAATTTGACTGCAGTAATGTAAGGAGTGTGATAAGTGTTATGTGATTGGCTGATGACTGAGAGTGTGGGAGGAGGGGTGTCTCTGAGGGGATTCTGTGTTCTTGAAGAGACGAGTGTGGAGAGTTTTTGTGAGAGTCTGTGTGACAGAGGAAGCAGTTGGCGTTCAGCCTGTGTGGCTATATGAGAGAATTTAGCTTGTGAGCAAGAGAGTTTAGCTTGTGAGCAAGAGAGTTTAGCCTGTGTGGTTATATATGAGAGGGAGTTCAGCCTGTGTGGCTATATATGAGACAGAGATAAGCCTGTGTGGCTATATGAGCAAGAGAGTTCAGCCTGTGTGGCTGTATATATATGAGAGAGAGAGATAAGCCTGTCAGAGTTGAGTTTTGGTGTCTGAGAGACTGTGTGTGACACCAAGTCTTGTCAGTTATATATGAGAGAGAGTTCAGCCTGTATGGCTATATATGAGAGAGAGATAAGCCTGTGTGGCTATATGAGCAAGAGAGTTCAGCCTGTGTGGCTGTATATATATGAGAGAGATAAGCCTGTCAGAGTTGAGTTTTGGTGTCTGAGAGACTGTGTGTGACACCAAGTCTTGTCAGTTATATTTTCTTTCTTCAACAACAGTTCAAAAATAGAAGCCTATTTTGTTCTTTTATAAATAAATCATTTTTTGTTTAAACTTATCCCAGCAATCAGAGCAGTCCTTCCTCAGGGCCACATAGTCCTCTGAAGTGCCCAGACACTGGGTCATTCTACCAAAATAGAGAGATTTGGAATTTTTAATTCCTGGTGGCAGCAGAAATCTACTAAGTTCATGTACATACAGTGTGTTTTAAAGGAGAAACAGTCTCCCCAGTAAGCAGGACGTCACACAGTCTCTTTGAGATTCATTCCCGAGGCACGGAGCCAGGATTTTTCTAACTGGGGTACCGCAAAGCCTGGGAAACCTCTTGACTCCTATTGTCCTTGATGGCTAATGTGGCCCTTCCTTGTTTTGATCCCACAAAGCTGATATACCAACAAAGCAGCTTGTTTTTTTTACAGTCTCCTACGTCACTTAAACTCTGTTCAAACACAGAGAGGAACCTCGTGGCACCTCTAGAATTTTGACTATGGAAAGTTTATTCAGAGGGTGAATCAGAGGTTTCAATAAGTTGAAAGAGGATCTGTGGTGTAGTGGTGAGGGGGTGCTGAGCTTCATCTGGGGGCCTGTGTCTGAATCAGGAAGGCTGACCTTGGGCCAGGCACCCACACTTGGCCTAGTCCACCTTGCAGGGCTGCTGTGAGGGAAAACATGGGATGACCTATCCGTGTACCAGCACTTTGGGCTCCTGTCCTGGGTGGGATACGAATACATGGATTGAATAATGCACGGTGAGGCTGGTGCATTTGACATCTGCGGTGGCTCAAGTGGTTAAGACGCTGAACTGCAGGCTGTGGAAAGTCAGTAGTTCAGCAGTTTGAGACCCGAGTGTGCCACATGACGGAGTGAGCTCCCATCTCTAGTTCCGGCTCCTGCCAGCCTAGCAGTTTGAAAGCAAGAAATTGCAAGCAGATAAATAGGTACCACTTCGGTGGGAAGGGAACAGCATTCCGTGCGCCTTGGTGTTTAGTCATGCCGGCCACATGAAATGTCTTCGGGCAGCGCTGGCTCTTTGGCTTTGAAACGGAGATGAGCACCGCAACCCTAGAGTCGGATTCGACTGGCTTTCGAGCAAGGGAACCTTTATTTTTCTTTCTTTGGAAAGTCAACACTGTCAGTATAATCAGGTGGCAGGGAGCAAGGTGACTCCAAAGTAAACTTCAAACACAAAAGCCATGCAGCATCTGTTATTGTGCACGTAAAGTGCTGTCAAGGTGAGGGGTCTGGAGACCGAGCCCTATGAGGAAAGGTTAAAGGAGCTGGGTATCTTTAGCCTGGAGAGGAGATGACTGAGAGGGGATACGATAACCATCTTCAAGTACTTGAAGGGCTGCCAAATAGAGGATGGTGTAGAGTTGTTTTCTCTTGCCCCAGAAGGTCGGACCAGAACATACAGGTTGGAATTAAATCAAAAGGGCTTCTGGCTAAACATCAGGAAGAACTTCCTGACAGTTAGAGTGGTTCCACAGTGGAACAGGCTTCCTCGGGAGGTGGTGGTGGGCTCTCCTTCTCTGGAGGTTTTCAAACAGAGGCTAGATGGCCATCTGTCAGCAATGCGGATTCTATGAACTTAGGCAGACCATGAGAGGGAGGGCAGGAAGGGTTGCCTCAGTGCTTGGTTTTCATGGCCCTTTCTTACACGCCCAGGGAAATGCTGGTTGCCACTTTGGGGTCAGGAAGCAATTTTTCTCCAGGCCAGTTTGGCTGGAGATCCTGGAGGTTTTATGCCATCTTCTGGGCCTAGAACAGGGGTGTGGGGGGAGGTATTTGTGAATGTCCTGCATTGTGCAGGGGGTTGGACTAGATGACCCTGGAGGTCCCTTCCAACTCTATGATTCTAAGTCACAGCTGACTTAAGGTAGCCCTCTCAAGTGGTTTTTAAGGCAAGAGATGTTTAGAGGTGGTTGGCCATTGCCTGTCCCCGTGTAGCAACCCTGGACTTCCTTGGCGGTCTCCCGTGCAAGTATTAAGCAGGGCTGATCCTGCTTGCCTTCAGAGATCCCATGAGATATAGGACTAGCCTGGGCCACCCAGGTCAGAGCCTCTTTTATTAGGACTAGCTTAAATACCACAAAAGTATATAAACCTCAGTCGTCCATCGAACGTCTCCGAGACGTGTAACTTTGGCAGGTGATGTCCACAGTATGAGAAATGTGAAAGAAGAAATGTGAACAGCCCACAATAGTTGACAAGGGGGGCGTGTGTTTCCAAAACCCGCCCAAGCGCCTCCTGAAGTCAACACTGAATGCTAGGAGAATTCTGGAGAGCCAGTTTGGTGTAGTGGTTAAGTGCGCAGACTCTAATCTGGGAGAGCCGGGTTTGATTCCCCACTCCTCCACTTGCACCTGGCTGGATGACCTTGGGCAAGCCATAGTTCTGGTAAGAGCTGTCCTTGAAAAAGAGCAGTTTCTGTCAAGAGGTCTCTCAGCCCCACCTACCTCACAGGGTGTCTGTTGTGGGGAGGGGAAGGGAAAGGAGTTTGTAAGCCGCTCTGAGACTCCTTTGGGTAGTGAAGGGCGGGGTATAAATCCAATCTCTTCTTCTTCTTCTCTCAGAGCTGTTCTCTCAAGGGCAGTCCTCAAAAGAGCTCTCTCAGCCCCACCTACCTCCCAGGGTGTCTGTTGTGGGGAGGGGAGGGGAGGGGAAAGGAGTTTGGAAGCCCCTCTGAGACTCCCTTGGGTAGTGAAGGGAGGGGTATAAATCCAATGTTTTCTTCTTCTTCTTAGTGGATTTAAGCCTGTATGATGTCTGTCCAGTGTTCTGTGAGCCCCCCCCTAACATTCTTTTCTTGCAGGGATGACGTGTCAAGCCCGGACGTCGTACACCGAAGACGAGATCCTCTGGGGCCACCGCTTCGAGCCCTGCATGTCCCTGGAGAAAGGAGCCTTCCGGGTTGACTACTCTCGATTTGAGAAGACCTTTGAAGTCCAGACACCGGCGGCCAGCGCACGAGAAATGCACGAGATGAAGGCAATGGAGACGCAGGACCAATCGACGCTCAGCTTGTACTGGGACCATCTGGTGCAGCCTTGCCTTTCGGCGGAGCTCAACCATGAAACCCGGCACGGGGACGGCCCCGGCGAGGAGGGCCTCTCCAAACTCTACTTCCCCAACATCACGGAGGAAGAGAGGAGCAGCGAATTCCAGAACCAGGAGGCCAATGTTTAAGCAACCTCCGGCAAACACGGCAGGTTTCTGCCCAACTCAACGGTGATAAGGAAGAGCCAGATAAGTGTGAGGTGGCCGAAAAGGTGCACGTCTTCTTAAAGCATCCTATTTCCTCAGGCAGCAGGCGTATTAAGCTCCCTGTTGGCGCTGCACGGGAAGGTAAGGTGGCCAATGAGTTATCTTGCTCACGTGGGACTTAGGAAAGTCTCCTGTCCTACCACGGAAGGCTCTGGGTGATCCTTCACGTGTCACCTCTTTCCTGCCGAGTTCCGTTCTGAACCCAAGCCAGCCGCCCCTCTCGTGCTGTGGCAGAGCTCTCTCCGGAGGACGGAATCCCCGTCAGAAGGCAGGAAGCGCGTTCCCAAACTGATGACTGACAAACACCTGGGTTTCTGAGGACAGGACTTGGAGATGGCATTCGTCATGTCTGTCACCCTCTTCCAAAACCGTTGTCTGGTTTTCCAAACGTAAACCAGGCCTGGGAGCTGGTGGACTGATCTGAAAATTCTTGCTTCTGAGAGGAGCTGGTGGAAGACAAATAGGGGGGCCCACGCCAGCTTTCTGGAGCCCACCGAGTCCTCTGGCGGTGTCCCTGTTTCTATGCCATGTACTGTAGGTGCCTGGAGCCCCGGTGCCCCCTGCGCCATCACAGCTTCAGGCACGAAATGTGAAAGTGTCTCGTCTTACTACAGTGCCATACAGATCTCTGGGTGGATGATGCTCCCTGACCCCCCCCCCCCCCCAATATACCCGACACCCCCT